TTTCATTATCCAGTCGTCGATTGATGGACATTTAGTTTGGTTCTATATCTTTACTATTGTAAATAGAGATGCAGGTATTCCATCAACATGATAGTGCAGGTATTCCATCAACATGATTTCCATTCCTGTTGGGTATATATCCAGTACTGGGATTGCTGGATTGTATGGTAGATCTATCTGTACTTGTTTTAGGAACCTCCATACTATTTTCCATAATGGCTGTACTAATTTTTGGTCCCACTAACAGTGTACAAGGGTTCCCCTTTCTCTGAATCCTTGTCAGCATTTATTATTCTCTGTGTCTTTGATAATACCCAATCTAACTGGAGTAAGATGATATTTCAGTGTAGTTTTGATTTGCATTTCTCTGATGATTAGTGATGTTGAGCATTTTTTCTTGTGCCTGTTGGCCATTTGTATGTCTTCTCTTAAGAAATGTTTATTCAGCTTCTTTGCCCATTTTTTAATCACATTATTTGTTTTTGTACTATTAAGTTGTTTGAGTTCCTTGTGTATTCATTCAGTCTACCAAGACTGAACAAAGAAGAAATAGAAAACCTGAACAGACCAATAACAAGCAATGAGATTGTAATGGTAATCAGCAGTCTCCCGATAAAGAAAAGCCCAAGACCAGATGGCTTCACTGCTGAATTCTATCAAAATGTTGAAAAAGAATTAATACCAATCCTTTTTAAACTTCTCCAAAAATTCAAAACAGAAGACATTTTCCCAAACTCATTCTTGCTTATGTTTTTATAGGGTTTTCTTGTTTATGCTGTCTGCATATTGCAGAAATTAGCTCTTTGGTGATTATATAATTTTATTTGGTATCCCTTTTATTTATATCATTTTTAAATTAATGAATTATGTGATTAGTTTTTACATAATTAAATTTATCATTCATTTCCTTTATGTTTCTGGATTTTATTACATAATTGAAGGGTTTTGTCCACATCAATATTATTAAAGCATTCTCTCATGTTNCTGTCTGCATATTGCAGAAATTAGCTCTTTGGTGATTATATAATTTTATTTGGTATCCCTTATCTTTTATTTATATCATTTTTAAATTAATGAATTATGTGATTAGTTTTTACATAATTAAATTTATCATTCATTTCCTTTATGTTTCTGGGTTTTATTACATAATTGAAGGGTTTTGTCCACATCAATATTATTAAAGCATTCTCTCATGTTTTCTTTTAATAAATTTATGATTTTAATTTTGGTTTAATTTTTTAGTAATCTGGAATATGTTTATTTTGGGTTAGGGTGAGGTAGGGATTGGATTTTTTTTTTAAATGGCTATTCAGTATTTACACTTATTAAAAATTGTGACACACATACACACATGTACATGTATATGTATGTATACAGCTTCTCGTTGGAAGACAAGTAAGAGGTCCAGGAAAAAGAATTTGACTACCTTTTAATTTTCAAAAATATCTACTGAAGAGAAAACAAACATTTCTCTTT